CTGTAGCCGAGCCACATGAAAAGAGAGCACAGACATTTGAACAGGAGCAGATAGAAAGATGCAAGAGCTCAATGTTCTTTAGTGTCCAGCAAAGGCTGTAGGCAGTGGACACACATGCGATAATGCCAAATCGGGAAAGGAGCTGCAAATGGGGGAGAGTATGGTCTGGAGGCATGGCCGGCAGCGCAGCAAGCGGCATGTCCAGTCATATTGGATAGTCAAAGCGCAGTCCCACTTCCTCTCTCTTTGTTGCAGTGATATCCAGTTTTCAGGGAAATTTGTCGGGGGGAGGAATAACAGTTGTTGGGAGAGCCTTTTTTAATTTTCAACACTGGCCTTTTTCCTTCTTTACTTAAGAACTTGCAGCCAAGGTACATTAATACATGCCTTATAAGGTTAGTGAGGGGCAGATTAAACGGATAAGGTTAGGCAGATGCAAAATCAGTATACAATCCATCGATGGACTGTGGCGTTAAAATTGCAATGTGGGAAGTTCTCCCAGTTTCCCTTCTTTTCCCCCTTTTACAGTTGCATGGCATGAAATTTTCATGTTGCGCCAACAAAAATAAAGTAAAGTCAGCAAGGTGTTTTCTCTTCATCCACCCCCCCCCCCCCCCGCCCCGCGCGCCCGCCCCCCCGCCCCCCCCCCCCCCCCCCCCCCCCCCCCCCCGCCGCCCCGCGCGCCCCCCGCGCCGCGCGCGCACCCGCCCCCCCCGCCCCCCCCCCGCCCCCCCCCCCCCCCCCGCCCCCCCTCTCCCCCTCCCCCCCCCCCCCCCCCCCGCCCCCCCCCCCCCCCCCCCCCCCCCCCCGCCCCCCCCCCCCCCCCCCCCCCCCCCCCCCCCCCCCGCCCCCCCCCCCCCCCCCCCCCCCCCCGCCCCCCCCCCCCCCTCCCCCCCCCCCCCCCCCCCCCCCCGGCGTATAGCTGCATTGGGGTAATGTCCTTAGTATTTGGCGGAATCTGGGTGATTTAGAAACATCTTATTTGTTTTGTGGAAATTCAGGGTGTTCCAAGCCCTTATGTTCAGTGATCTGTGAGTGTCTTTCAAGAGGGTTTTGGCTTATATTATACTTATTTTTATAATATATAAATATTTTTATGGCTAGTGTCTGGTAAGCACATTTGGGGAACAATGAAACCGGAGGTCAAAACCTTGTATGTGTCACACTTGGCTATAAGAACTGATTCTGATAAAAAATAAAAGATTTCAGTCACTTTTTAAGACGTGTCAAATAGTATAAATTGGAAAACTGCTGGCTATTCCCGTTTTCCAACCAAATCAGGCAAAAAACCCAATGATTCTACTATCATCTCATATTCCTTAAATCAGGGCTATAGCTCTGTTCTTCATTTTTTTTTCCCCCCCCCCTTTATGCATTTAAATGTTCCCCAGTTAGGAGGGTTTGCATGAACGTTTTTGGTACGTGATGATGATGTTTTATTAACTTTGGGGTTTGATGTATGCAGTTTTTTGGCCACAATATATATAGGACTGAGTTATTGAAAGGTTGGCAGGGACTAACAGGTCAAGCTATGGAGATAGACTTCTACAACTGTAAGCAGTCCCTTTAGTGATGT